GCAGAAGAAATATTATGTTTTTTGATCAGTGACAATATTTGTTGTTAATCTGTTGCAAAAAGATGAGCGCTTTTTCCGGTAACAAAGTGCCACAAAGCCGTGATTTTCTGATTTTTACTTTTGCAAAATTTACCAACTGTTAATTTCTTGTGTCTAAGCAAATAAGAAGTATTTCAAAAGAGCTAATGTTTTATAAACAATACTATCACTTATTAATTTGGTGTTAAGAGATTAGCATTTTTTTCTGTTAACGAACTGCCACGAAGTATAAATCAGATTTTTTACTTTTATGTTGAATGTCTGTTTTATAATATATTTACCACCATTGACATAAAAAAAATTCACTTTTCTGCAAAATTCACCAACTGCACAATTCTTGTTAAGTAGTATTTTGAGAAGAGCTGAAGAAATCTTATGGGTTTTTTTTTTTTTGAAGAATAATATTTGTTGTTAATCTGTTGCTAAGAGATGAGCATTTTTTTCTGGTAACTACCACAAAGTAAACAGATTTTTACTTTTGAAAAATAAAAATCAGAAGGCAGCATTAGCACAAACATTAGCAGTAGCCTTTTCCCTAAAATAAGTTTTTTAGCTATTTTTTGATTTAGCCATGTTTGGTATACTGAATGGAGGAGGTCAATGTAAAACAACATGCTAGATTTACCCCACATGGCACTGGCAGTATTTAGGCTAATATTAGCATTTTGGCTAATTTTAGTTTATACGCTAATTTTAACATATTGAATGGTGTAAGCCTATGTTATCCAACAGGCTTGTGACTCTCCCCAAGTTATTGAGTACATTGTAGCTTACTTTGACATTGATGCTAATTTTTGCCATCAGAACGCTGGGTTCCAAACAACAAGCACATTTTGGCAGGCCCTGTTTAAATTTCTTCAGAAATTTTCTAGCCTCATTCTGAACTGCAAAGACTTCATCTGGGGGAAAATATCTTCTGGATGGTGCATTGCTGTAAGGAAAAACATTTTAAACAATGGCATCTCTGTAAAAAAGTCCAGATACTGAGCCACAAACCTTCAGGTTCATAATGCTACAGTCCTGCTCACCATTATTGGTGCTCCTTAATGTTTTGCATAGCTGAGTGAACATCTTCAGAAATAAATGGAAATGTTCAAAACTTTTATCAGCAGGATCTTTCAATTTGAGATCCAAAGTAATTTAACAAAGACAACTGCCATTTCAACATATATATTTTAATTCCAAAGGACAAAACAGAAAACCAGAATGTGCACTATTATTGACACCCCTCCTTAATATTTGGATGCGCAGCCTTTGGCAGCAATGACAGCCTCCAAACATTTCTTATATCTATAAGCTTCTTACACTTCTCGGGTGGCATTTCCTCCCACATTTCTTTTGCAATATGCTCAAGTTCTCGTATATTTGTAGGGTTCCTTTCTCCAATGGTAGATTTCAGCTCCACCCAAAGATTTTCAATTGGATTGAGATCAGAACTCATTGCTGGCCATTTTAAAACAGTCCATTTTTTCCCTTTCAACCATGCCTGCGTGCTTTTGGAGGTGTGCTTTGGGTCATTATCTTGCTGGAGGACCCAGGATCTTCGCCTCAAACCAAGTTTCCTTGCAATGGGCAAGACATTTTGTTCTAGAAGTGCTTGATAATCTTCTGATTTCATGATGCCTGTGATAAGGTCAAGGCTTCCAATACCAGATGCCGCAAAGCAGCCCCACAGCATTTTGGATCCTCTTATCATGCTTGCCTGTTGGTATGGTGTTCATTTTTTGAAAGAAAAGACCAAACATACTGTGAATTACCGAAAAGCTCCACTTTTGTTTCATCTGTCCATAAAACGTTGTCCCAGAAGGCTTGAGGTTTGTCCAGGTTCTCTTTTGCAAAGTTCACGCGTTCTTTTTATATGTCTTTTTTTCAGCAATAGGGTCTTCCTTGGCCTCTGCCCATAAAGCCCCACTTTGTTTAGTGTGCGGCGTGTGGTACTTGTTGAAACAATCACACCAGACAGCTCCAGGTTGGTCTTTAGATGTTTGACATGGTGTTTTTTTCACCATTTGCACCAACCGTTGAAGACTTCTGTCATCAATTTTTCTCTTCCCCACCCCAAGTCCACGGAGGTTCTTGATCGTTCCATGCCTGGAAAACTTCTGAACATTACGCACCGTTGTAACAGGGATATTAAGGTCTTTGGAGATGGCTTTATACCCTTTGGAAGTCTTGTGCTTGCAAATAACATTTCTGGTGTCCTCAGACAGCTCCTTTGTCTTTACCATTGTCACACGTGAAGATGGACTAACAGGTGGCTTTTAAAGCACCAATATGACCATTCATTGGTTAATTCATGTCATGTATGGAGGCAGTTCATCGCAAGTGATCCTTATTTGTGATTTTCAACAGGTGGGCCAAATTGGGTTTCCATACTGATTTTCAGCAAAGGGTGCCTGTACCATAGACATGGTAAACATTATGTTTTTCTCAATTTTTATCTTTTTAAATGTTTTTTATCATTTGCTGTTTTGCATCAAGCAAGCTATTGACATGATGATGATGTCAAACAAATTGTCAGGTTCTTGTTTGTTTTAGTCGCTATGGAAACACAAGGAGTTATGAATGGGGTAAGATTAAAAATTAAAAATACATGAGTAGATATCTAAATACATAAATGTAAGTCAGTAAATATGTCCTGTTTTCCAACTCATAGATGTAAAATTCTGAGATTTTACTTATGAGAATACTCGTAAACAAATAAATTTAAAGTATTTTTGATAGGTTTTATAAAGACAGTAAGTATTTTTCCAGAAGTTAGACACACATCAGTCACATTTAGAAACTGGCTCTAAATCCTCTTAACCCTCCAATGTCTTTTCTGACCTGGTAAAGTCTTTTTTTTTTTTTGCAATATCTTTGTAATTAAAACTTTTCATAATTTCATATTCCAGGTATTCCTAAAAAAACATGTAACTGTGGGGTGCTGCGGTGGCACAGGGGTTAAGCACAACGCAGCTGTCACAGGTTCGATTCCTGGCCTGGTGATCTTTGCTGCATGTCTTACCCCTTCCTCTCATTACCAACTTTCCTGTCACTTCATATAAAGACCACTAGAGCAAGTAAAACATCTTACTGATTTCATGCAATTAAAATTTTAATATACCTTTTATACATTTTAAGAAATAGCATTTTTAAATTACCACCCCGTTCTTCTGTAAGTGGGTCTAAAGTGACTTGCATTTATTTCTTATGGCATTAATGGGAATCTTTTTTTTTTTTTTTTTTTTTTACCAACTGTGCCTGTAGGAAACACTTTTTTTGAGAACAATACACACTGAATCCTAAGTGTCACCCCTGAATGATATTTTACAAAATAACTCTTACATATAAGTGTCTTTATTTTTTTACCTCATAAATGTGGGTGGGTGTGCCAATCAATGAGTACTGTGACAGTGTTATTGTTACAAATCAACATATTGGCCTATTTCAAAGTTAGTTAGCTAACATTATTGCCTAAATTTTACTGTGCATGTGTATTATTTGTGTGCGTGTCTGTGTCTGGATGAGAAAACCAAAACAAAGAGAATATGTTGAATGACATGCATATATTCAAGGTTTTTTCTTGTATCATTACAATAAATAAAATATAAAATCATAGCTATATAAATAAATGCATAAATAAATAAGCCAGAAAAGAATAGAGTGCCTTCTCCGGGTCGGGGAGGATGTCCTGCCCCAAGTGGGAGAGTTTAAGTTTCTCAGGAATGAAGGAAAAATGAAGCAGGAGATCTACAGGCAAATTGGTGCAGCGTCTGCAGTGAAGCGGGGGATGTGCTGGTCTGTTGTGGTGAAGAGAGAGCTGAGCCAAGAAGCGAGGCTCTCGATTTACCGGTCAATCCTTCATCTATGGTCATGAGCTTTGGGTCAAAAAAAAAGAGGGCACAGATACAAGAGGCTGAAATGAATTTTTCCCTGTAGGGTGTCTGGGTGAGAAGCTCAGATATCCAGGAGGGACTCAGAGTAGAGCCGCTGTTCCTTTACGTCGAGAGGAGCTACACTACACTACAATGGAACTGTTTAGAGGTCATTTACTGAAAGTTTTATAAACTTTTTTTTTTTAATTATAGAAAAATATAGAACACTAGCAATGTGTAACCACAAATGTAGGTAGGCCTGTCAGTTGTTTGGACTCAGAGCCAGTTTCAGACCCACAGCACCTGGTTGAAGGCCTGAACTCGACAAATTAGATACTTTTAAAGAAAAATAAGTCACTGAAAATGACTTGTTTTTAAAAGAGCGAGCATTTTACTCAGAAGATTTACCTAAAAAAAACAAAAAAAACAGAATGACCAATGTTTTGGAAAAAAAACATACTTCTTTATATAGAAAACAAAAGACATCTAGATAAGAACCAGAATTATACCTGTTTGATCATTTTAAACTTTTAGATAATGGATTGATAAAGAGAAACTCAATTACATGTCCAGAAAAATGCAGAGAAACACTGCCGACTACATCTCCACAGATTCATCCTTTTTTTGTTCTCACTTTAAAACTACTAGATCACGTATCAATTAGTCGTGTTTTTTCAAATGTTTAACACAGAGATTGCTAACATCAAAACCAAACAGTGCATCACAAAACAATCATCCAAATGGTTGCGTCTAAAGATACATTTTTCAAAACTGCAACAATCACCTGCAACTTGTCTTGTGAACACACTGCATTTAATTACAGAATATCAAAAGACCAGAACATAACTTTCCCATTATGCTGAGACTTATATGACAGCAATGTGTTTTTGTCTGGTGGATGGCGCCCCCTTTCAGCTGCACACAACTGTGTGTGTATGGAGTTGTGTCTGAGCATCTCTGACTTGTGGTCCTCCTCATCTACTGGTAGTACAACTCCAGGTTCATTCCATCATGGATTTCATCTGCAGGAGCAGCAGTTAAGTACAACAGTCTGACTTTATTGGCACAAGTATAAAATAACCATCAACAAACAAAATGCCGTATAGATTTCTTCTATTTTGGCCAAAGCAGGCTTTCATATTATCAAACGGGTTCAAATGAAACAACCTGATTACACACAAGGTGTAGTTTTCACAGCTTGTTTTACTTAATAAGGGGAAAAATGCAATTCAAATGAACCTGAAAAACAAAGAGCTAGTTGCCCTCAAAACTGACCTGCCATTAGACATAAGGCAGTTTATTTGTTTTTTTGTTTTTTTTACATCCCTGTGAAGGAATTTTGGGTGATTCTTGCAGCATGGTTTTAATCAAGCATGCCCAAGATGTTAAACGTTATCTCACAGAAACTGAATTGGAATTAGCACCAGACTTTGAAAAGGCTACTTCAAAACCATCATTTGGACTGGAGCAGCGGTTTTGGCCTTGGAACTTTCCCATGGAGGCCATTTTAGCCCAGCCTCTCTTGATTTTATTGTTGAATGATGAATACAGACCTTCATTAAGTCAAGTGAGCCTTAGAGTGCTTTAAATGGATTCTTTTTGACCTGCTGCATGAGTCCTTGGTGTGCTCTGAGTCATGATGATAGGCTGGCCACTTCTTTCTGCATTCATGGATGATGGCTCTCTCTGCAGTTACATCTCAGTAAATTAGTTATCACTGAATGGTTTTAATGTTTGGTTTTTTTAATAAAAACAAGCAACACATGGGGGGGGGAGTAAAGCTTGTTGAACAGCCAGACTTACTGGCGGAAACCCTCATTAGTAAGTTTAATTTAACAATGATTAGTGGGAAAAGCTGTGGTTATCAAATATTTGAACACATTTGAAGTAGGTCACTTTTGCTGTCCAAACAGACCTGACAGGTCCTATAAACCACCACCCTCCTGAAGACCTGCTGCATTTTCTGTCAACAAGATATTGGCATCTGGTTAAGTCCTGTTTGTCCCTCATGCAATCTGTCTGTCATAACTCTGCAAAATAGTTTTTGAGCTTAACCTATTTTTGCTCCTGGGCACAAAATACAGTCAAAACAAGCTGAAGCCAACAGGAAACACAACAAACCAAAAAACAGAAACATTCCTTTGTGTTTACCAGTAACTTGGTGCAATTTCATTGATCAGCTATAGACAGTGCAAGAGGAGCGCTTAAAGGATACAGTCTCCTAGAGTCACATGGTCCTTAAATATGGTATACCTTTAAAACAAACAACAGAAATAAATGTAAGGACATTTTGCAGATATGAACAGCAGTGAATGTGAGAGTATTTCAAATGAGCAGAGTACCATTTTTTCAAAACGATCTTGTCATATCGTGTTCCTGTCTGAGCTGCGATGAGCTTCTTCAGATCTCCGATGGTATCCTCTGAGCTGAACGTGGAGGTTAAGGAGCAGTGTGATAGCACAAAAACAACTACTGCTTCTGTGAGACAACAAAAATGTCATCTACAGAGGCTGAAATCCTGGTTAGACTATTTTCAACCGTCCAATAAAAATGAACATTAGGAATTGATGATCTTGAAAGAAAACAAAAGGTCAATGATTTAAATGAGGCTCATTTTTTAAACTTCAAGTTCAGATAGTGGGCTTATGTTTGTCCTGCTGGATCTCAGCATTTTCTGTGTTTAACACTGGCTCTCAATAAGTACAAATGAAGTTGAAGCAGAATTAATATCTATTTGCTTTTTTATTCCATTTTAGTGCTGTTGGTTCAGCATATCTACATTTAACTGCATTCTTCTAAATAAAGTGGCTCTGTGTTCTCTGACAGATGGTCGCTTTCTAAGCTGCAGTTTTCTTCTTGATGAAAAACAGCTATTCTTTTCCACTAATACCACACGTTAGTTCAGGACGATAGATTATTGCAAAATTAGAGACTCAACACAATCGGTTGGGTTTCTTTTGATATAAAATTAACAATTAGGACTAGGAAACAAATATTACTGCAATGTATTATTGAAATGATCAAACTGGACCGCACTGGATTAATTTGATGATGCATTTCTCTTAAAAGATTGACTAATTTCATGGCACTACAGAAATATTTGGCCTTTATAAAACCAAAATATTGAGACAGGACCATGTAGGGAAAACGGATGTCCTTTGAAATCATATCTAAATAGGTTTCACTAAGAAACTGAATAACTAATAACTTGTTGTTGTTTTTCTTACCAACCCACTGCTTTTCACACACAAGGATACTTGCATTTGACTCGGACTTTCTTTCCAAGACGATCGTTACAAACCACCTCGATCATTTTCACCGTCTGTCACAAAAAATAAGGGGAACGTAGTTAGGCCAGCGTTTGGCATAGCTGAACTTGATTAAATAATGGGTCAAAACATGAAGCAGTTTCGTCTGTAAATCCCTAAATTCAACACAGTAACCGTGTAAGTTAGCTAACATGCTAAAAAAAATACCGTCGTTAAATTATTATTGTATAAATAAGTAAGCATACGAATAAACAGCCTCTATAATCACGAAGATATTTACTTAAGTAAAAATTAATTTACCTAATTTAAACACTTCACATACACTGAAAGAGCAGGTTGAGAAATAGTTTTCCCTCGCTGGTATGTTCTGCAACGCTCTAGTTCGCTTTGCCGTAAAGCAGGTTCAATTTCTAGACCAATCAAATCAAGTAGAATGTTGATTCACAACAAACGGAATCCAATGGGAGAGAAGGAAGGCCATCGTAGGGCGGGACAAGAACTGAAAACAACTTGTATCGAAAACAAGCTATTAACTGTCGTGTCCTGCGCTGTAACTCCTTCCTTGCTTCGCTGCAACAGTGAATTGAAAGTTGAAAACGTTGCTACTACAACAAATATGGGAGACGAAGAAAATTTACCGTCCGGATGGGAGAAGAGAATGAGTCGTAGTTCAGGTAATGAACCCCAATCTGAAACAGGATAAATAAGCCACAGAGTTTTATAAAATTGTATTGTAAGTAGGTTTGGTTCGCTAGCTAGCTGCATGTGCATCGTGGTACAATAAAGAAGGAAACTAGGGAAACCTTATTATTACAGAATGATTGGGTGAAAGACTTGATGTAGAATAAGAAGCCATTAATGCGTTTTTTTCCAGATAGGGTTCGACTTTAGTGATTGTGTCGTTACACGAGGAGCTAATTCATTCAGGTTTGCTTCTGCAGGGCCACACATGACGTCACCCCGTTGTATAAATTTGCGTTAAAATAGCGCGAGACCCAGAGTTTTAATTAACATAAAAGTATCTAAGAGTCAAATCTAAAATTTTAAAAACAGTTGTCTTGGCCTAGCCTTTTAAGAGAATCTTGTTTTAACTGATTTAACAAATGCCAAACTGAGTTAAAGAGGAGTAAATGTCTGTTTTTTTTTCTAAATGACCCCAGAACTTCAAACTTATTTAGCAAACACTTAATCAAATTAAGTACTGGCCTTCATGAAGCAATGTTAGCTGTGGCTACACTGTTGACTTTAAAATAAGGGATATTCATTACTTAGTAGTTATCGTACATGCTAAAATTTCATGTTGCAATATACGGTATTTACAACAACATTTAATTTCCCTTTTTGAATTAGATTTTTTTTATTATTTGAATTGTTGAAGCAAAGTACACAAGACTGAATAATGTTTTTTATAGTTTAAAAAACATTATTTAAAGCAACAGTTTTTTTTTTTTTTGTACAAACATGCGATTTCGTATAGCTTGACACCTATAACAATTATTTGGGTTATTTTCTCTCCCTTGCTCTCTGACTGCCCTTATTAAAATTATGTATTATTTATTCTCTATTTCTTCTCCTTCACCCATTTAATTTGTTATAAGGCTGTTAAAGAGTTTTGTAGCGAATAAAGCCAAAGTGCCTCATGTAAATCAGTTGTTAAATGTGTAAAAAAATATATTGTAGTTAAAGTGCTTTAATGCGTCTGTCATGTTCTAAAAATTTAACCAGACTTCTTTTAATTTCTATGATTTAGATTTTAAATTATTTGTTAGTTTCAAATTTTAAGGTTTGAAACTTGTTTGGGCAAGTTGAATCTTTTGAAATATAAATGATCAAAGCACAGAGCAAACCAAAATAGTTCTGATTGATTTCCTGCTGGTTCCCATTATTTACAGGTATTACATGACAACCTTTCCTTGCAATAAGGCAGAGAGCTGAAATCTGAACACTGGTAGAGGAAATTAATGCCAGGTGGTTATGCTGAAACACATCTACTTTGATTTAAATCAGCAAAGTCACATATTTATGTCTAGTCTGACTGGGGTTTTTCTCCTTTTAGAGTTAAATTATTATTATTTTTTTTTTAACTCTAAAGCTACAGGGGTCTTATCATACCGATCAGTTATGACGCTGATGCTGCTGGGACCAACATGGTACAGAAAGCTTGAGCTTTAAACACTGATACTGGCAAACTGTATTTATGCGTTTCTTTCTTTTTGTTGTTGTTTTGTTTCCAAATCATGCCAAAGCCTCATTTACTGTCCCTTAATTTGCAGTTAAAAATTGACAAAATTATGTGACATATCAGCGTTTTGTGTCTGTTGTCTATTTTCCAAAAACAAATGTAATTTGGACGTCTGTATGTTTGCTCTTGCAGGAAAAGTGTATTACTTTAATCACATCACCAATGCCAGCCAGTGGGAACGTCCAGTAGGAGATGGACGTGGAGAGCCAGAAAAGGTTGAGCTGAAATAATGATTGTTGCAATTTAATCAATTTCACAGGGCAACTAATGACAAGAACTGTACACCATTACCAAAAATAATATATATAATGTATCACTATTAGTTAAGATAAATATGCCTGTGTTACAACCTGAGTCTACTCTTCCAGTTCCAGTGTTAAGAGTTGTTAACAAAAATGAGTAAAATGAGTTTACTCATTTTTGAGAACGTAAACTTGCATTATTATGCCATTATTTATGGCATAATAGATGAAAATAGTCCCAAAACAAATACTATTGTTTACTGCAATAATTTCTGGAACAATTTATCATCTACAAAATTTGTTATCATGACAGACTTAGGTCCTTTGGATGAATTATTAATGATCTTTGAGCGTAGGGTTCATGTGTTTTCTTTCCCACTTGCAGGTTCGCTGCTCTCATCTGTTGGTGAAACACAATCAGTCACGTCGACCATCTTCCTGGCGAGAACAGAATATCACACGATCTAAAGATGAGGCTTTGGACCTCATTCAGAGTAAGTAGAGATGATCAGATGAGCTGTAGCAGGATGCCGCTCAGGAGGTTATAAGATATTTCAGTAATTGATTTCAAAAGTAAGGATTCTTTACTTTCTTTTTTAACATGTGTTAAAGTCATGTTACAGCCTAAGCATCATGGGAAAGAGGAGATGAGAGGCTCATAATCTATGTTGCTTGAGATCCAGCATGAAGTTTTCACAGCCCAAACCAGGAGCAACCATCTTCCAGGAAACGTTAAAACACTTAATATAATTCTAATTGTGTCAAAAAATAAACTTGGTTTTTAGTAGCCGTAAGCTGTAATCATCCATTTTTACAGAAATGTGCATTTGAAGTATTGTATCACTCTGTGTACATAGTTACATAAATTTCATTTTCAAAGATATTGTTAATTGCGTTGTCATGTTGTCTTTGTTTTTCCATGCAGAGTACATCGAACAGATCAAGTCAGGAGAGGAGAAGTTTGAAAACTTAGCCTCCCAGTTTAGCGACTGCAGCTCAGCAAAAAATGGTGGCGACCTTGGTGTGTTTGGAAGAGGTAAACCCTGAATGGCATCCAAAAGAAATACTTACAGGATTTACAGTGCAATTGTCAATAACTGAATGATTCTAACTTTGTTTTTGACGTGAAAAATTCTATTCTTTGCTGAATGCGCCTTCTGTATGATTCAGGTCAAATGCAGAAGCCTTTTGAAGACGCTTCCTTCGCTCTCAAAGTAGGAGACATGAGTGGGCCTGTTTTTACCGACTCTGGAGTTCACATCATCTTACGTACCGGCTGAAAGGACGGCACCACCTGCTCTCCCACTCCATTGTCATACACGCATTTACTGAAACTAACCCAAGCAGGCCTGCCATTTGTTTGAAATGCACTCATCACCCCAGTAAGTCAAACACATACAGTAATGTTTTAGAGGGGATTATATGCTCAAAATCCCACACTCAAGTTTGATTAATAAAATGACTCTGAGAACAAAGGATTATTCCCAAAGACCTGAAGCTTTTATCTACCACAGCAATGCCATGATAGAGAAGCATTAGTGCCTGGAGTTGTGACTGATTCCTGAAAAGCAGATGCTACTGTAACTGACATGTGCATGTTTTTAAAATGGACCATCTATTGTTTGCTTTTTCTTCTCCTTCATTCCTGCTGTCTGCCAAAGCAGTTCCTTTATGTACACCATTTTCTCAAGATTTGTAGGTTGGCTGTTTAAATCATTTTCAAGATGTTGTGTATCCCTGCAGACAGAGAATTAGCTGTTCTTTTACGTTCTACACCCAACATTCAAAAACTAACAGTTTGTTCATTTATGGAAATGACTTCAGAAAGAGCATGTTTGATTCTCAGACGGTACCATTGAAAGCTTGCAGGTTTTAACATCAGGCCCCACAGCTTTTAAAAGCATCAATATTCATTTAAACTGTTGACACTGTTGTAACTGAGGAATAAAGTTATAAAACACATTTTTGTCCCTTTACTGATTTGTTTGTGTTTATGGCTGTCAGTTGGGTTTTTTTGGGCTTGTTTTCATAGAGCTGGTTGCTTGTTTCTCTCCCAAGCTCTAGCAACACTGAGAGCAGAGCTGAAACCTGTCGGCTCAACAGGCAGCAGCCCTCCTACGCATTGAAAAGTCTGAAAAAATTCAGAATAGTACAAAAATACAGTCAGAATTTAACTGTTCAGTTGCCCAATTTTTAAAAATGACTGGAAAGTATTAATTATTAATATTAAAATATTAATAGTTGCAATAACAGAAAAAAAAAAATTAACAAATGATCCGCTGAGGATGCAATTTACATGAAAGTGCTACATTAAACCTGAAACTCAATGTTGCAGATTGTAATATCAGACCTGTGTGATAAACTGCTACAGAAGACACAGACAGCTCTTGATAAAATGTTTCCTGCCACACTGACTGAATACCAAATATTTGCCTCGTCACCAAGAATCTTTCTAGTTCATCCCTTATTAACAATGTGTTGACCTAAAATTAATAGTTATATAACACAAATAAACAAATTACTGAAAAAAATTGACAACTAAAAATCAGGTTAGTTCAGTATGACTTTATTAATTCCAAGGAGAAACTAGATATATTAACACATTTCCAACATCTCTGCAAAGCACAATTGCTGAACAACAAACAAAAAAAAAAATAGTGCTTTTCAAATATTCTGTAAAATTACAGATTGTTGCAAATAA